TACCATACCTATAAACATCAGGAAAATTGGAAAACATAATAAGTTACGCGGGATTAATAAATAATAATATACAAATAAGTAACTCGCTATACAGACGAACAGAATATGAGTATAACACGCATCGCGTATTATTAAAATCGACATCGTGGGAAATAATCGAAGAAAATATTACTATCACATTATTATTGTTTGACACGGCGATGAATTTTACGATGGCGTTCTCTCATATATTATTCGTCCGAATGTAATCACATCGTATTATAATATCATCATCTTATCGTGCGTTAATAATAATATATAGGTAGTTACGTGACATTTTAAGGCATCGATGGTATATGCACACCACGCTGTTACCACTCCCGTGCGTGCGATGCTTATTATTAATAATAATAATATTATTACAATATTTGCGCCGTAGACATTATGCACGGATCGCGCGCGAGTTTAATAATATGTATTATCGCGGATATCGAAACGCCGCCGCTGACAGATTACGTCTCAACCGTGGTATAATAACCCACTGCGCGGGTAGTGGGTACACCGCATCCTTCACGTGCCAAAGACTCCGTAACGTGCCGCGCAGGTAACCGCGTCGCATACCGGACGTACGGTCCATTATTGTTATGACGTCACTGTAGGTACACGTACTGTACGGTGTTTGTCTCACGCCAAGTGTTTCTGCCGTTCGAATTCCCAAAAAAAAAAATTTCAATTCCGAGCGGAACTAATAATATTACATTACTACGACTATAAGGCCGCGAGCACATTGGAAAGCGTTGCGCGGTAAGCGGTGGGCGATAAGCGGCAAACGTTGAGCGGTGAGCTGTGAAGTGTGTATATTAAACAGGACGCGATGAGCGTTGTGTACAACATTATTTTATTTTAGTGTAGTGACGTAGAGCACCATGGCACTAAGTTCGAAAGTTCGTCGTATTTTATTGTTAGAAAATTCATTTTTACGAAGACGCATCTTAACTAAAAAGAAAAAAAGAATAGGTGTTCACGAAATGAATAAAAAACGAAATGTTCTAGGCGAGTTCCATAATGTATATGAAGAATTAAGACTTGATCGAGAGAGATTTTTCAAATTTTTACGTATGTCAATAGAAACTTTTGATTTTCTTCTATCTAAAGTACAATTCAAATTAACAAAGCAGGTGACAAATTTCAAAAAACCTATTTCTGCGGCTGAGAGACTTTATGTCACTCTAAGGTAAGTCATTNGAGGCAGAGGTGGCTCGAAGACGGTGTTTGAGAGCAGACCTCCTCTGGGTTTTTTAAGCGTTGGTTGACGGGTGGGTAATGGCTATTGGTTAATGATTTAGTATCAACCATAGTTTTTTAGCATTAACTACGATGGCAGGCACTTCAAACTGTGACAGTATAAGCGACTTTGTCCACGGATATATTATGCGGCGTCGACAGGTGTGAGAAGGTTCATAGACTTGTCTATGAAAAATGTCAAGTTTGCCTCGTCTCTTACTTCGATAATCTAAAGTGTAAATGATAATAACTATTAAAGTTTATCATATATTTGACAAGGAAATGTTCTGTATGATTATCAAGCAATCGACCGCACTGAATGGCGGCTTCAGGGGTGGCCCCCTCCCAAACCTGTATTTGTAAGAGATCGTTTATTGTTAAAAACAAAATTAAAAATAAAACAAATTATAATATCGAAAGTTTTCTGAAAATTACTACCTATACACCCTCCCCCCTCCCAAACTATGACTTTGGAACCGCCAATGTGTATAGAATTGCGGTGGTAATATATAATCATGTAGTAGCGAATATAATGGTATGTACCTACTTTATTGTAAACATAATATGAATTCGGTAACTACAAAATGAAATCGTGTTTCAAAATCCGTAGTCCACCCTGTGCACACGCCCGTTTCGAGTCGCTTACAAAGTATATAATATACATCATATAATCTCTTTTAATTTAGCAGTGTTTAATTTCTACCTTTCTTCCTATGTGTGTGTGTGTGTGTGTGTGTGTGTGTGTGTGTGTGTGTTCTGGCAAAATGCCATTAAATTGATTAAATCCGATGTCGCGTATTAAACGGCCCTCGACTCGGTTGGTAACAAACTTTTTTTCCCGTTATTTATTTAGAAAACCCGGTGCGTGGCATACCTACCTACCTAACTTACAAGATTATAAATTTATATCTACGCTCTCGAAAAAATCACGGTCTGCCGGTTCGATCCGTTTGAATCTTACAAAAATGTAGATACCCATGTATTATATACATATATACCTATATATATATATGTATATATATACGGGTAGGTTGTGTTGTCGCAAGCTCGAGGTCGTAAACATTGAACGACGAGTATTTGACTAGTAATACAAATTTTAACTAAAACAGTAAAACATTATGAGAATGCAGTGGACATTTTGTGACAAATATATTTTGTTCGTGCACACCTCGCCTGGTGCAGAGTTTTTTATTTTTTTTACAATGTGTTACTGGTGCGAAACGATCAGGATTCTAACTGATTACAACAATATATTATCGTCAAGCAAAACAATTTTAAATGGAGGTATAGGTATACTGCAACTTGAAAACTTAGATTCTGGCTTTTTTTCTCAACTCAATGGGCAATCGTAGAAATGAATAGCAACTACTCCTAATGGACAATTTTCTAATTATACCCTCAATATTGTATTATCTTACGCACGCATTTTAACGTTTACCTAAACACGTACCTAAATACGAACAATTATCCGGAAAATTAATTTATGTATAATGGTATATATTATTATCATTGTCATCGGACATTATAATATAGACCGGACTCGTTCTGAAACAAGTCCGCCGGGAAGAAGACTGACTAATGTATAATGTCTATACATATACAGATTATAACGTTGTATAGTAGTAGTGTAATAATACAGTAGACGATAAATCTATTATTACGTATATTAATCGTAATAATCGCATCTCTCTCATGCAGCGGTCTCCGCGTTGCAGGCATTATTATAACGTAGTTATATACATAATATTATACCTATAAAACGTTGAAAGTCCCGTTAGACGAATAGTAGGTACCTAATAATATAATACATTATGTCGTACGTCTTGTTAACGTAACACAACTGTACCTATCACATTATGCGTGCCGAGTGAAATTTATTTTCGTGTCGCCGCAATGCATAATATAATAATAATATATATATTATTAAAAAATATTATAATTACAATAGTACGCTCGACACGGCCACGGGTTTATAATTAATATTATTCTATACGGTTTTTAAAAAGAGGCCATCTTATAAGAAAACACGGTCATCTCGTTTTGACGTGGATGAAAACCGTTTCTGTTGTCATTACGCGATGAGTGTCTGCTGTGCCATATAATATTTTAGAGCCAAAATCTGACCGGTATGCTAAAGCAGGAAGCTAAATAATTTCAATATTTATTGTTTTATTCGTAAAGATTTTTCATGACATATATTTTTATAGATAACTACTTGAATATTATTGTTCATGAGAATTTAATTTTATAAAAGTAATATTTTACACAATAGTTATAATTTGTTTCTAAGCTAAGATGTATCTATATGTAAGTAGAGGATTATTATGACTGACCTTTTGGTCAGGACTTTTACGTAGTTCTTGGAAGGGTACAGAAGAAGAATTTGTTTTTAAACTCATTTCGTTTTGTTATAAAATAACTTTTTTGAAGGAAGAAGTAATGGACACTAGGTGTATGTATTGTTTACTTCCCCGCACAATTTGGTTATAAATAAATCCGCATCCATGCCGTATCTACTATATTATTATAATATATATATTTATATACTGTATTTTGGGACGAATATTTAGAGTGTTTTAATGTATAAAATTATAATTTCTGAAAAATCATAAGTAATTTTTGAAAATAAATTAACCCATAGAATTTTGAAGGATTTTGTTTGGAGGAAATGTGATGGTATAATAAATAGTATTCAAATTAATAATTTTTTCGCACTTGTTCATTTCACTCTGACTAATTGTCATGGAATTCGCAGATGAAGTGTTTCGCGTTAAAGTGCCACATGAATGAGACCATCTAAATATAATACTATTATGATTATTATTATTATTATTGTTATAACCTCGTCACGCACGAGCGTCCCTAATGGGAAAAACTCCATCAAAGGTCGACGTCGACAACGACAATAATAACAATAATCGGTGGCAAACCGTTTTTTTATTTCTTTTTCCGCGACGAATCGTCGGACATTAATCTCGTCCACTAGACGACTACAACAAAGATGAATATAAAATGTAATATTACAAATCTAGCAATAAGCAATGCAAAACGTTGGAGTCATTGTCCATTGAAGTACCAGTGCGGTGAGGCTCCCCCCCCCCGCCCCCAATGAGCTTTTAGCCCCTTCCGGTTGAAATCCGAATCCTGAAAATAAAAAACCAGAGCAAGCGAATCGAAATTTGTCCTCTACAAGAAAGATCTATGAATAGTAACTATTATGTTTTTTTATTAACATGTAAGTATCCAACCCAAAAACATATTTATGTTAAAAAAAAAAAAAACTGTTGAGGGCTAAATGTATAAAATAATTAGTCATTATAAAGTATGTATATAATGAGTTAATATTATGTACGTCTGTTTACGAATTTATGTAGAAGTGGGCCAAAACAGATTCCGCGATCTACCTATAATAGAACGATAATTACTACCAATAAGGTTATTGACAGTGATATTTTTAATAATCATTTGCGTTTAAATACATGCATATACAGATGTAAAATCTAATATATTGTACTTATTTGATTGCTTACATTATATTAAATTTCAATGGCGAAGGGGGACACTTTAGCCCCTGCGCAACTGTTAAAGCATCCTATACGGTTACACCCATCATGGTCGGCCGTGACCTCCCGCGAAGCGTTTCGGCGGTGGCGTGAAAAAATGAAAACACGTACAATCAATTTCATTTGAGAAAAATAGTAAGTACAAACTCGATGATGGCCATGATGATGACTTACCTGGCGATGTGACATCGTCGACGGTCAGCGGAAGAGCCTGGGCCGACCAGACCGCAGCCAGTGCTACGACGGCAAACGCATAGAATATCGTCTTGGCCGACATCGCAACGTTTCGTATCTTCGGTGACGTTGACGCGCAACACTCGCGAGGACAACTTACACACACGCGATGTGCTGAGGATCTCAACTCAATGGAATATGTCGGGCTAGAATCGCACGCAGGTCGCCGTTCGAGTACACTCTGCTGGGCACGGCCGTTTTCCAGATCGGCTTTATAGATATTCACATCCTATCCCCACCTCACCCGCCGACGAGTCCGCCACGGCCACTGCGACCGCCTCCACCACCACTTTTGTAAACATCACCGCTGTCGCTGCCGCAGACGTTTGTTTTTAATAATAATAATTATTATTATTATCGTTGTTGTTGTTTTCGACTGCCACAGCTATTGCAACTAGGTGTATACGGTCCTTCGCGTTTGGTTCTAGAAATTTCGACGATCGTTCGGCCTTAACATGACGCCATAATAATTATTAATAATTGCCTATATCGTTAGGTATTATACTTTTATTCATATTTTAAACTAACTAACTAAAATCAAAAGTCAAAAACAAAACACGGTTTATACAAAATAATATGTTATACATGTAGGTAATATTGTAAGACACCAATACTTTTTAATAATTTAGTTAATATTCTAATACAAAACCAATGATATAACGCAAAAAACTTTGAGAAGAAATAGACCACCGACATACTCGGTCCATTCGAAATCGGCAGTGTCCGCAGTTAAAGGGAGAGAAGATAATTCATTTTTCGGTTAAAAATTCACAAAGTTACTCCACTCGACCATTTCTATTAGTGTCCGTGTCACCCAGTGGTGGTAAAGACCTATAGTGGAATCTATACTTATAGATTATTCTTGAAACAAAAATCTTCTCAATATAACTGCCTGCGTATAATGCTATTAAATAATAGTTTAGTAATATAAACTTCTGGATTCCTAGCCCAAATTTTATCTTGTGAGAAGAAAGAGCAGACGAAAAAGCTCGCCAATCAATAACCTCTTCTGATGCTATTAGACTTAATTGTTTCTCTTTCCAAGCTAATTCCATAACAAAAACAATCTCGAAGAACCTATGGTTACGGGCGTGGAAATAAGGCACTTCAAAACTAAACAAAATCAAAAATACCATCCACACATAGCCCCCTCCACAGGACATCTCAAGGAAAATGGAAACCACAATTAATAGAAAGCGCATAGGACACACGTCGCAAACTCATCAATACCTGATGAAGAAGGATGATCCACCCATATGCAGTAGTTGCGGTACATTCTTATCAGTCAATCACATTATAGACGAATTCCGTTCCTTTGAAAAGGACAAACGAGAAGCTGGGGTATCAAATATCCTGTCGGAAGCCCTCCACCTAGACAACATGAGTCTCATGATGCATTTTTTAATGAAGACCAGTCTTATAAATACTGTTTAAGTCTGTTAATTGTTTATGTAAATACTATATCTTAAGAATATCTAAACTATAAAACTTCTTGTATGCCAATGTCCATAGATTCCGATAATAGAATAAACTATCACGTAAAGTTATAGTGACTTAATAACTGGTAAATCAAAAAGGTAAATATACTAGCAACATTTTTTTACAATAAAACAGTAAACGCATGCGTATAAGTATTTATATATTATAAAGGTACTGTATAATGTGAATAATATAATAACAATTATTTTTATAAATTTTAATTAAATTTAAAATATTTTCCGTTTTATAGTTGTTCAGGCAAATAGAATTTTTTCAAAACTCTCAAGAAGAGCACCATCACATGAAGGTATGTCTATATTTTGTTGATAGAAAATTGAACTTAGTTATTAGCGGTTATATATTTTAAAATAGTTCAGCAGTTTCTTATAGCGTACTTAATGAAAAACTACAAAAAAGTGTAGAAACTTTAAAAGAATGAAGAAGTTTAAGCAATTTTAACCATGCTCCGTTTAGAAGCCGGGGTTTATAATAATTTATACTAATGAGAAAATGGTAAACTTTCAAAATTTAAACTGTACGAGAAAATAATAATGAAAATGATAAAAGCATCATTATTATTAGCTTTTTACAAAATTGTAAACATGATTTCTGTAATACTCAGTTCAATTTACTTTACCCGACTTTGAATATAATATAACAATATAATATACCATTTTGAAATTACTCTCGTAGGTACACTCCGCTGCACCTTTACAACAATAAGTAGGCACACCGCTTCTGGCGCCACTGCGATGGATAAAGATCTTGGCGCCAAAAAGTGTATAATCGTGTGGCTAGTCATAATAACCACTTAAAATCAAAATGTCTGCAAAGCGTACATCATGATATTTATGTAGAGCGATATCATCATCGTTATGTTATTGCATTATTTTTATATTATTTTAATGTATATCTAATGTATAGTTTTCATTAAAATATTTCACACATAAATAACAACGTAAGACATATTGTTGCATACCTATATTATTACTTATTAGTACAATCGTAGAACCATACATAGTGTGTGAACTACCTATCTGAATATCTAGATTTAAGTAAATTTAATATCTTCAAATTTCACATTTTCTTACATGTTAAATTTTTCGATTAACTGATCACTTAATTAAGTGCCAATAATAACTAATAATAGTTAGTCTTATCTTACTGATCAGATTTTAATATCAGATTTTTAACCAACTAACCATCCGGATGAAAATCGTGTATAATTACACTTTCTCATTGAACAATATAAATGAACTATTTAACAATTGCATATTTGTATATCATAAGCGGGCTAGTAAAAATTATGGTGCCCTATGCATAGACACTTGAATTAATTTACATACAAATATATACAATATGTTGTCAGTATACTTAAAGTGGTCCAACTATATCGTGACCTTTACATGTACTATCAAATCATGACCTAGACCAATATGTATTTTAGGTTATTGTAAAAATTTGCAATTAACCATATAATATTATCTCATCGTGGTTTATGATTTAAGTGCATTGCATAGCATTAAGTTGCCCTGTTGCCCACCAGAGAATTAAACAACATCCGTCGTTTATGTTGCTGCTACGGTACTAGACGCGCTCAACAAACGACACAAAATGATGTTTTATAATAAGTCAGTATACTCACATCAATAAACGTAATATAATAGCATTATATTTAATAGCTGTTATAAAACAATAATAATATAACATCGCTTGTAGCTATTAGTATACAATTGTTATTATTGCGTTTTTATTTATTATTATACTACGATAATAATATCATCAAAAGCAGACTATAATAAGTATTAAGTACTTTGGTACTGTATTATAATAAATAATAATATGAATTTATCGAGCAGCTCATTAACTTAAAAGTGAGGATTTTTACTGGGTATATATCGAATATAACAGTATTTAAAATTGAGAATTTTTCGTCCAATAAAAACGTAAGACTATTATAAACACGATTTATATACAAAGTAGGTTCAATAGAATACATATATTTTGGAGAAATATTTAGGATAAAATGATGTCCCGAGAACAACGGAACGGTATAATAATATTTATCTTAGAATCAAAACTCTAATAATATTTTGAAAGTAGAATAGAATGTAAACATACGGTTTTCCTGCGGCGTGTAATCAAAGAAGACAACATCATAAAATACATTTTACCGTGACGATCTGAATCTTTTAAATATTTTTATATTATGCATTTTCACCGTTATCCATATAGTAACTACAGCTGATTAATGAGTGGGGTAAAAATATTATAACGGTATTATATTATAATAGTATGTTTATAATATATTAAACAGTTTATTTTGTAATATAATATAATTACATAAATAAAGTAGAATAAAATCCGCTTTTAACGATCGTCGAGGGATCCAGAGAATAATGTCATCTCGATGACAAAAACGTACTGGACATATCACGTGAGTTCTGAAAGCAAGTACATTGCTGGGAATTTCATCCGGAATATCGTTACGGAATCGTAATGTAATCAGCGGATTTTACTAAAGTACTCGTACGATTACATTTCATCAGTCATACAATATTACATTGCACATTTATTTATTCTAAACCCTTTTAAATGTGTAGATTTAGTGGAATGTTGATGGTCATGAAATCTATTAATCTAACTAATATATAATCTAACTTTTTTTTATAATAACACGTCGTAAGTTAATATACATACATAAACAGAAAAACTAATACAATATGTTTTAATAAAATAATTGTAATAATTGTTTATCATTATAAGGTGCACCACGTCAATAGTCATCAAATGTATTATTGATCTTATTGCTTTTCGAGATTGGGTAATGACTTTATATTTAAATAAACAATAGTATCTGTTTAGCACGCATTTAGTTTGTCAATTATTTTATAATTATTAAATTGTATACACTAAATCAAAACGAGTATACTATCTGTTTGGTCTCACAATCAGTACTATATTATATCATTTTTTTAAACAAATTATTATAGAAATATAATTCTTCCCCAAACATTGTTGGACGTCCATTTCTTTCATCGTTTGACAACTTTTCCTATAAAACCAAGGGTACCAGTATTAATTAAACGTGCATTTTTTATGTAGGCAAGTACTTTAAAAAAAATGATTCTCATTTCGCATTTTTTTAATGTGATTACAAGTGCCACAAAATTCAAAGCAATTCAAGTCAATTTTTTTTTAAATATAAACCTTAAGTCTCAAAGTTAATACTTAGGTAGTGTGTATATGCATACAAGTACGTCGCAGGTAATAATATTGCGCAGCGTGTGCCCAAGAGCTATTGTTCAAATGGTATACTATTATTATTACTATTACTAACGAAACAATGAGAACACAATCGTAAGTGAATTTAAATGTTATTAACGGCAGTCGAGTACATACTTCCTCAGCGTTAGTCCAAGGGAAATAAAATTGTCTGCCACAATAATGACTATATTATTTGATATTTATTAAATTATTTGTTGTTTTGCTAGCACAAAAACTCCTCCAATCAAGGAAAGAATCGAAAAAGACTTTAATTTTTTGTATAAGACGTGATAATATTATAATGATTCAATAAGGGCACATTTTAAAGTGTCCTTCTGGAAAATCAGAAAAAATGTTTTTTTCATAACAAAGACCTCCCATTATTTTTAAAATAAAAAAGAGCTTGTATCAAAACTACAAATTTATCGTATAGGTTACTAAATAAAATGTATCTATGCT